CTGGATTCATTACTGTGCCCAAGAACTCGCCGGACTCAACTTCTTCAAGCTCTACAGGATTCCCATCATGCAATGGTTGATGTGCTCTGATTGTCAACGTATCGACAAATGAAAACTGATCATGATGTTGACGAAACGAATCTTGATTTGTTTCCCACCATTTCTGCTCGATGAAACTAACGGCAATGTCAGCCAAGAAAGGAGGGATTTGATTGCCAATTGCGCGCCACGTACTTGTTGAAACACTTCCTGCATCTGAACAGAAAGTGAAGTTTGCAATGATAACGAACCACGTTTGAGGCTGTCTTTGAGATAAATGTGAATCACTCAGCCACGACGCGCTCGTTTTGATCGCCTGGAAATTCGAAGCTTCACATCTGTCTTTCAAGGAAACACAATGAAAACCATGTCGTCATCATCATGATGCAAGTTTTTGTATTGTTCAATCATCCGTGCAACGGCAGCCTCAATGCAGTCAGCTGGAATGGAAGTGAAGAAACCAACAACAGCCTGATTCGATTGCAGCAAATGATGTTCAAGGCGAGTATGGCGAAGAAAGCCTTGAAGACAAGTAAACATTTCAGGCATGGTTTCATCCCCAAATGAGTTTGGAAATACGTCGTCCCTCATCATGGCCTTCTGCACAAAGGCGGTGCAGCAAAACAATCTGGCAAAAGGAAAGGATCTGTAGTTGATTCTGGGGTGGGCGGCACCTTCTTTTTGGCTTTGCAACGGTAATCCTTCAGCATCTGCTGTTCGCAATGTGAGCAAGATGGCGTTGGGGGCCATGTTGCGCTTGTTGGAAACTCTTTGGTCACCAAACGTTGAATTCAGAACATGGTGGGGCAGTACTGGACAGAAAACATGCAGGTGATGAACAGCGTGAAGTCTGGACGTTAAGACATGGCGCTTTGACCAATCGAAACATAGGTGGCTGACGAAAAACGGCAATGATCTTCTCCAAGTGAATCGGTTTGCCATGCATCTGAAGAAATCTCGGGCGCCACACACGAGCTCGCTTGGACTTGTCTTCGACGAACATGATGGAAAACAGTGAAGGAGTCGCTGATATTCCACGTAATGTCACGCGAAAGTTTCTAAAAATGGGTCATCAACGGCCGCCTTTAAACTAACAATTGCAAAAGAATGAAGAGCTGCCGACTGCCAACGTGCATGTCGCAACAAACTGGTATGATTGCTCACCCGACCACCTAGTCCTAGTCACTCTGCAAAAGTGATGTCTGCACATATGATCTTCCGGAGTTCAAGGTTGTTGGCCGTGGTTGCGAGATGAACCGGCAGGCCGTTGCCGTAGGCTGCTGCTTCATCAGCAATTTGACCTGCTTCGTCCTTGGGAAGATCCTTAATGGCTTTTGTTATGCCTTTGATCGCCCTGTCGAGCTGAGTCTTTTGTTGATGGCTGCAGGTGTGAGGCTTGTCGGCGACCGTGTTGTGATTGCGCGAGGTACTGAGGTGCTGTCAATCATGAATGCATGTGTGAGAAAATCAGTGACAAGTGATTTCGCTGCTTCTGGGGAGATGGATTCCGTGATGAGAAGTGTGAGCTTTCCTTTCTTGACCTGTGTTCGGCTGCTGCTGCTGCTGCTGGGCGCTGTTTCTTCTTTTGTTGGTGGGGGACGCTGGCTTCGGTCCTGGATCTGACTCTTGGGTGCCTTGATGAAACTGACGAAGCTGTTGTGTCATCCACTCTGCAGGCGCTTGAGTCTGCATCTTCTTGATGTTGACTTCTGCTTTGCTTCTGTCAATCTGGGTGTTGTGCTGTAGACAGAGAGCAGCTGCCATCTGGTCGATGTCCATCTTAGGTTCATGAGTTGCTACCTTGATGCAGACGCTCTCCTTGATGCTTCTGGCAAAGATCACATTCAGGTATCTGCCAAGTGCAAACGACGGTAAGTGATAGTTGTCAAGACCTTTGAAACATACTTCGTGTATTCCCACTTCTCTGACATCCCTGCCAGCAAACAAGTGCTGAGTTGCCGATGCCGTCGGGAAGATCTTGGAGGGGAATTTGAAGCCAAACACTTCTTGGGCGTCATGACAGCCTGCCTTCTGCTGAAACATGGATGGACAACTGTCATCTCGCTGTCTGTAGCCCTGAGGTGATGCAGTGTCCTCAGCTCTTCCACATCCCAGTCCCATGAATTGTTGCGCCATCCTCCGCACCAGCTGCGTCCACCTCCTTGTTGCCATGATGTAGCACGCAATCCTAGCAACGATAGAAGCTTTCGTTTCGAAGCAGAACATCTAATGCGCACAATCAGAACTACATGCATCAAGCACGTGCTCATGCTCAGGACTGCGTACAACATGCGTGAAGACTAATGTTCAGATATAAATAAGCAGCAAAGAACTCTGTTGCCGGCTCTTGGAGCTGCGACAGCAGCGTACCAAAGCTGCACAGGCTGCAACATTTGATGTAGCCTCTCCCGTCTCTACTCACGACAGATTAGATGACGGAGATCGAGACCTGGGTCTGGCTGGTGGGCTCTCCACGGTAGCCCCTGGCGCATTCGTTGTTCATCTTCGGCATGCGTTTTGCATCGATGTACTGCAGCGGTTTTGGAGCTGGCGACGCTGTTAGCCTGCAGAAATAGAAAATACAGCAACATCCGGTAAAGTTGAACTCGACCCAACAGCATCTGGATGAGGAGTGAGTGGAGGAAGGGGAGGAGCAAGGGAGGAAGGAGAGACAAGAGGTGGGGGACGAGGGAACATGGGAGGAGCAGGAGGAAGAGGAAGAGGGTGAGGTGGAGGGGGAGGGGGAGGTTTAGCATCACTAGTTCTTGTCGACGAATTTGCCGCAGGATCAACATGGGCATCATGCATGTAAGAGTGCGCTGAGGCGGAGGTGGATGGGTCGTCGAACAATTGTGGATCCCGAACTGGATTCCTGGACACGAATTGTATAGTAGGCGAAATCATTGCTGTTCACCAGTTGTAATGTAGGAGATGTCGCATTTAGGCGCACGAGTAGACACTGCCTCGTCATCTTTGAGCATTTGTTTAGGAGAAGAACTTGAAGAATCTGTTGCGCTCAACGTTCTGGTCACCGAGCTTTCTACATAAACCTGGCGTTTCACGACCGGCAACATGACAGAGATCCAGACGAAGTACACGTTTGGAATGACCCTCAATATGACCGTAGTCATACGACGGGTTAGCAAGCTAGGTTCATTTCTTCAATCACATCCCTTCAATCACCCGTCTGCAGAACATACTGATGGGCAAAGACGAAGCAACAGCTTTTGGGTGCAAGTTTGGGCGCCGAAGCAGCTACACAAGCTGGCGTCCCAACTCCCATCACGGATCATTGCAAGTGTCTTCATTGGCGCAAAAACAAAACGTGCAACGTCCCTTGCGCCCCCTGCTTTTTTCGACATGCATGGTCCCTTGGTCTCAGGGTAGTACAAGCACACACAAGCAAACACACACACACACACACACGTACGTGCGTTACATACATCCATCCATCCATCCATCCATCCATCCATCCATTCATGCGCATATCCAAGAATAGTAAATCGAATCAACAAATAAATACAACTATAGACTACATATATATATATATGTGCACATAATATATATGTACATACATTATATACCTAACCATATAAAGGTACATATGCGCCTATGTCATACACACACACACACGCACGCACGCACATTCCGTCCGTATGTGAGCCCCATTTTTCAGATGCACAGGGGCGCCCCACGCGGGAAGCACTGTAGTGTCTTCCTTTCGCTCGGCCAAGCCTGGCCCAAACGCGTTGCAAAGCGGATCCACATGGCATCGCAAACGTAAGGCGTCGCAAGAAGAGCTGGTCCCGGCCTCAGCCGAACGCCTGCAACCAAACCGCAGTCGCACGGACCGATGCTTGGCATTGAGGCTCAGGCCAAATGCATCCTTCAGCGGGACTTTTATGACTAACCGTCGCTTGCACGACGTGGAATGAAACGCCTGCGCTGCACTGATACAGGCACTGGAAAGCTTGGAAAGAACCGCCGCCTCGCCCAGGAATGAGCTTGAGTCGCTCCACTCGGTGTTCTCCGTTTCAGAGACACGATTCTTCTCCAGGCTGAACCTCGGCGACTCGCGACTGGAGGCGCCGCCGCCGCGACCGCAGCCGAGGGAGCCGCCTGGCGCTCAGGTCATCCTGACGTGCGAGCGCCGACACGAAACTCTGAGTGTACGCAGAAGCTCCTCCTTGTCAAGGACTCCCATTGCTTTCAGGCGCCGCTCCTCCTGCCAGCCCGACAGCCGGATGATTCGTCAGACTCACAAACTCCAACAGAACTCTAGTCACACGCATGTTCCAGGTGTCGATTTGCTGAAAATTAGTCACATGATACATTCGAGATGGAACATTAACGAAAGTGGTTCCTCGCCGAACTGTGGTGGAGGTGGAAGTGGACAGTGGACAACCAACTTTGAACACGCATGCCAATAACATGCCTTGAGCTTCAAGACAGGCGAAGCGCCATTTGCCAGGTGATGTGGCGCCCTCCGGCCCAGCAGAATTCGAGGCTCCTGGAGAACGTCTTGGAATTCTGGTTCGCTTTGGCCGAAAACCTGTACCGCTCAGTCTCCTCTCTAAGAGAGCTTGCGGTTGGGGCCCGTGGTACCTCCTGGCGGGACTGATGCAAGCAGGGAGTTGCATTGTCAGGCACGGCAAAGCAAATGCTGTCACAGGGCCTTTGGCAAGCTCGTCTTGCTTCCATTGCATCCCATCGCTCCGATCGCTACAGTACTTGGCGTGATCGTGGCTCTGTTGCTTGGTTGCTCGTTTGCCGCAGCACATATTTTGCCGGACAAAGCTTCTTGGGTGAATCATTGAAATCACCGTCACACTTTGTCATTGAAGCTCTTGCACGTCCATGTCTTGCAGGGCTAAACTTGCATGCGAGAATTGGTGCCGCCTATCGACTGAACAGGTATCTGCTGGTGCGTCGGCAGACCCTGCTTGAGGAAAGCGGTCGGCCTGTCAACGTTGACCGGCCGCGAAAAGAACTTTTTCACCAGCGGGTCCATCTTTAGCTCCTGGACGGGTGCTGAGTGAGAGGTGTGGGAAACCGGGGCGTGCTTTGTCCTCGATGATGTCTGCTAAAGCCGCTCGCTTGCGAAGGTCAGGTGGTGCCGTGCAACCATCGTGCCTGCGCATGCACGCGGCATTGTGCACATACACTTCTATTGTAGCAAACGCCGTCCGGAGCTCTGCAGGCCTGTGCGGCTCAGACGATACCTGTGAGGAACTTGCCTGGGACAGTGATTCGGCGTACTTCTTCCTGGCTCGCTTGATGACTTCCATGCCCTCAATGCCGCCAGATCCGTCAGAGTCATTGCAGAATCTGGCCAGATCTGCTACCGTGCGCGGTCTGCGACGGCCGTCACTGATTGGCTTGTCGCTGCACTCTGGCCGTGTGGGTTGTGCTTGCATGCTGGCCGGAGGAGCTGATGCATCACACTTTGCTTTCCGTGCGATATGCAACGGCGCTTTCCGTGGCTCATCTTGGCTCTGCATGTTTTGCCCCTCGCAAGGCTCTGCGACCACGCGACCAAACAGCGGAACTTGTTGAGGGCCTCAGTTCTCAGAACATCTCAGAACAGCCCTTGGATTTAAACCCTTAAGCCCATGCGACCGCGGGGAGTTTGCGTAGAGGTCGACGTCATACTTAAGCCGGAGTTGGAAAAACATGTAAGACCGACCCAACAGCTACGCCTGAATCACTTGGCAAATCGATGGACGGGAACATGTTCTTTCCGTCCAAGCACATAATAAAGGCCCGTGAGCCACGGTGTGAGTCACAGCAAGTCGCGACTGCGAAGTCAACTCATTCACGAGCTGCTGTGTTGATACATTCTACATGGGGCTGGGTCTGGCGAAAGCTTCACTCGCAAACAGCGGCCAAGAGAGGTCTCCGCGTGTAAGCTTGGGTCGTGAAGCTCAAAAGTTTGGTGCTCCACCTTATTGTGCTGCTACACTTGCACTGGGACAATGGCATATGACTTTGGGCTCCACCTCGTCAGCCTCGACGATGCTAAAGTGCGACGCATCCTCACACCTTCCTCGAGTGCATTCCAGTGTCGGTCTGTAAGCGGACCTCAATGAATCAATGAGAGAAATATGCCAAAGGACTCAGCAGCTCCTGCCCAACACAGGCTCCCGGCAAATGTTGCCAGCACTTGGCCATGAGGAGGTATGCCTGTGCGTCCAAGTGAAAACGACAAACCGATGCCACTTCACTTGGCACCTCCTCGTCGAAGAGCCGAATGCCCGAAGTCATGTCGACAAACTGCGCTACACGGTGCTGTCGCTGCCAACGGATGTGCAGGAGCAGACTTCTGCCAGCAGTGGCCCTATCGATGTGTTTCTGCCTATTGATACTAGTGACTACGAGTTACCGAGGTGTCGTCTCGATCAGCTGTGGGCCAGTGATCTGTGGAAGGACTTTCCTCGCAGAAATATGCTCTGAAGCAGCCAGAAATGGGACGACAAATGACTGCTTTTTCCATGCAGCAGGCTCCTCGGTTCGACTGCAGTCAAAGAGTACCGAAAGCAAGACGCAAAGCCTCCGATCACTTCGCGTGCAGCTGGGTCTCTGGATACAGCGCCTCACACCGCGCTGTAACACGCAGTGCAGAGTGTGCAGAGTGAGTGCATCTCAAAGCTTTGACCTGAGGTTTCTCGTAGGTCTTCTTTCCCATCGGCTTTGGCTTGTCCGACGGCCTGGGCAGTGTGCAGGAAGCAAAGCCCCTTCAAGGGCGAGCTCTCAGCCAGGCCTCAAGAAGTCACCCTTCTGGACAACCGCCATGGTCCTCACACACGTCAGTTCGTGCCGAAGATCTACGGAATCTACGGTATCCAGTCCTGAAGCCCTGTGCTTCCTCCTTCAATGGGATCATGAACCGAGTGTAAGCCTGCAATGTCTGTCATTGCAGGAGTGTCGGACCTCAAGGCACGACGGTGCCCTGTGCCTTGATGCACTTGGCCATCTGATCTTCCCGGAGCTCCTTCTGCTTTGAGACGATTTTGGGGCAAATGGCCTTGGCGCGCAGATCCGTGATTCATCGCACAGGTAGAGCGCATTCCTGAGAATCGCACTCTGAACAGCCTTTCGTTTTTGATGCCGATTTCGTGATGAATCTGAACGACGTCAGCTAGAAGCCTGCACGCCCCAGTGACTGTGCATGGCTCTCGGAAAAACCTTCGTAGTGATCAGGGTCGGGCGTGACAGGAATCCGGTCGATCTCATCGCATATGCGTCTTGATGTGAGCTGGAAAAGGAAGTTGTCACTCTCCTGCATCGCACGCGCCTCCCCGCCCTGCCTGCTACTCCCCTCCCTCCAAACCTTGTCTTCTGTCTTGCTCTGCGCAGAGGTGAGCGAGACGATGCAAACAAATTACCACGAGGAATGAGTTCTAGCGGGAGCCCCGTTTTCGAGTAACTCTCAAGCGAGTTCAATTCTACCACCAGGTCCAGCTGTGACATTCGGAGCTCCTGCGTATGAACTGTCTGCCTGTCCACACCACGCTTTTGGATTCGTGCCTTCGCAACAGCCTGGCTGACGATGCACACAATGCGTAATGACGGTTGGCATGGGTTGTGCTGACGAACGCTCTGGCTGAGGCCGGTGCCCAAAGCAGATGCACCAGCCCGTCGTAAGACAGCTCTTGTATCCGACGCCCTTTGTCACGCACCAACTCCTGCCGTGCAGTGCAGGACAGCTACGAGTGCAGTTGAGCTAACTACACCTCGCCTTTACCTGCACGGCCCTACGACCCCCACCCTACGGCCTTGACCACGTGCGACACCACATGCTTGTTCTTCCGAATCTCTTCGCCGTCTCCACATCTTGCCATGGACCACAACAATTTGGAGGCTGTGTCTGCGCTCCAGTCGGTCGTGTTCAGCTGGCCTCCCACAAAGTGCGAGGAGAGAAGAGGAGAGGCGAGGTTTGCAAGATCGCTGAGGTGCCAGCTCATGGAGTTGGCAATTGCTCCTCTCAGTTCTCAGGCACTCCGCTGGCTGATGCTCTGCTGAAGCCCTGCTGGGGCCCCGCTGCCGCCCTGGGGCTGGTGCCCATGCTCATTGCGGCGTTGCCCCGTGCTTCTTCAGGAAACTTGGCCAAGGCCTCGGCCTCATCGCTGGGATTGACTTCGAGCTGAGTGATGCTGGTTCAGGGTTAGCATGGTTCAAGCATGTTTAAGTTTCAGGATCAAGGATCTTCGGGTCAGGAAGATGTGTATCGAAAGCTGCATGCAGTGACCAAGCCAGCCTAGCAGAGCAAAAAGCTCGGAAAGCTCGGAGCACTGCTGCTCGCGAGAGGTCCCGGAGATCCAGCGCGGGCGGAGGCTGGCTGAGGAGCTCCTCAAGCTGAGAGTGCAAAGAGCAGAGTTCGAGCTTCTCTGAAGTCGTGCTAACTCGAAATAATAGCACTGGAGAGACGACCTAAGAGCAACGGTAGGAGCATCCAGTCGCTGGGAGCAGTGCAGGGGCAGCAACAGCAGCCTCAAGCAGCAGCAAGCAGTAGCAAGCAGTAGCACTAGTCTCTCGCGAGCCGCAAGCTGCTGAGAGTCTTGGATGTTGCGCAGCTTCGAGGTCACCAGACAGAGGATTTCACCACATGACAGCTTGCAAATTTGTGCAGTTGCAACTTGAGCTCAGTGCCTGGATTTTCTTGCACAGAGCTTTGACCTCGAATGTGAGCAAATGAGAAACTCATCAGTTCTCCAGGCGTCGATTGCTGAACAAAGCGAAAACCGACTGGCTGCATGGATTAGGTGATTAGGCTCCAACATGAGGCTGTCGGAAAAGATCCTCTCTCAATTTGAACGAGCTCTTCGTTGCCATGGTGCAAAGGGCCTGTGCGAACGCTGTGTTCGCGATGTTCCCACAAGAAGTGGTTCGAGTATCAGTGCCTCAATCGCGACGAGGGATGTGAAGTTTTGGCCCTTCTCCTGCTTGAGCAGCAGCCGGGTACCGTGTTCTGAATATCCGCCGACTGGACAGTCAGCCAAAACTCCTTGACATGAGCTGCGCACCGCACAGCAGAGAGGGCCGACACCTGTTGCTGCAGAGCTTTGCGTTGTGCATGTACTGCGCTGTGGGCAGCGACGCTAGCTAACACAGGCACTGCAAGAAAAGCAACCCAAAGGACCTGCTGCAAAACGGCATCCTGCTCAGTGTCCTCTTCAGGGCTTAGCCTTACTCCAACAGAAGGTCGGGACCCTATCGGAGGCACTAGACACTTCCAAAACTGAGAAATCCACTGTGGTATTGTCGCAGCCTCGAGCAGAAGACCGCACATCACAAAAATCATCTCACTCTAACAGGAAGCGGCATCATTTGCGCAGCCTGCTGGGCTGCGGCTTGCCACTGTGCAAAGTACGCTTTTGGATCCAGCATGGCAGCGCCTTCAGAATACAAGAGTGTGGCCCGGTTCCGTGGCAGTACACTGCTATTCAAAACGTGGCGTCCTGGTGAACACATGAGACCGGTGTCTGAAACTCATGTAAGAGCCTGCGACACGCAGACGCAGGCAGAAAGCAAGAAACAAGGGAGATGAAGACCTGCGAAATGCGTACACTGGAGATAGATCCAATTGTGGGCCAGGGCATGCCACGATCAAGGGCCTTTAAGCACACGTCCGACCAGATCTCACTGTATTCGGAGAAGACGACATCAAGGCCGAGCACTGTGGTTTGAAGAAAACCGCAGGCATTTGAATCTGATGGGGCGTTCGCTTCCAGCTGAAAGCGAGGCGCATCGTGCCCCAACTCCTGTATGTACCCGTCATGTCGTCATTTCCGGTGAAGCTTCAACGCCAACACATGACAGACTGTCCCTCATGAGCATGCCGTCAGACAAAGGCCAGAAAAACGTCACCTAAGGCTCAAGGAATCACCGTCGGCCTGTCGGTTGAAATACACCTGGAAGAGCAGGGCTCGAAGTGCATTCGGATGACAGTCTTCTACAGGAACTTCATCTGTATGTCATGTGTGTTTCGCTTGCATCCGTACCTGCCCTGCTGGAACGCCCCACCTGTTCCAAAGGCGTCTTCCGCACTTCGCTTCATGGCGCTTCACGGCACGATGTTTCAACTCGTAGCAATAGAGCAACAGCTGTGCACAACGTCGGCTCAGAGGGCGTCCTTGATTTTACAACGATACAAGTATGAGCTGAGACCTAATTCGATACTAAAGCATTAGGAGCAGCACCGTCCCAATAGGAAATGCAAGGCAGAGATCCCGTCCGGACACATCATGCTGAAACAAGCGAAAACAGGTTCAAGATTCCAATCTCAATCTCTTTTGCGATGCAGACATCTGGGGGCAACTTTGCCGTCAGGTCTTGGGGGTGAGACATGTCGTAGCCAGCCTCGGCAGGAACACTCATCACACTAACGTCAATATGTCAAGCAAAGAGTTTTGCCTATGTGCGTGATGTTCAGTCTTGGGCGCATGCCGGGGATCGAAATGACTGTGCTGTGTGCAGTTGCTCGGTGTTCCAAATCGCTGATTTGCGATTCGCATATTCTCTCAATTTCAGAAGCGGGTGCTCTTGCTCAGCGCCGCGCAAACACAATTCGGTTGCATCGACTCACCAGAATATGCAACATCTGCAAACAGCGGCAATGTGTCGACACTGTTAAGCTGCGAAGCTGGTGCATTAACAAACAACAAAGTCGACGAACTCACGTCCAGTTTGCGCAAGAAACACGTAACCATTGATTAGCGTGGACATTGCTGGTCGCTTGCCTTCGCTAGGAGAGGCCCGAGAATTTGTACATGATTCTTGGCGTGAAACTGTTGGATCGCATGTCGGTCGTTTGAAGGAGACGAGGTTTATCATCGCTTGGAAGGCCGCTTTTGCTTGCCGAACCGATCAATCACTTGAATTGACGAAAAAAATAAGGCTCAAGGTCGCATACAAAAAGCAAAAATCCCATCCCGTATGATTTACGCTTTCCGAATCTGCATGCAAGACAAACTGCTGCAGTACCGAGGGGTTGTGCGAGAGCAAGCTCCGAAAGCTGAAGCTCTCTTGGAAATGTCAGCGCAAGGACCTGACGGCAGGACAAAGCATAAAAAGCTGCGTAACGTGGAGCTTGTAAAGCTTAGCAGACGGCGCGGGGGCAGCCGTGGAGGAGTCCCCTTCATTCCACGGCTCTTCTGCTCGCAGCATCTTCCTCAATTTGAGCAGTTCTGACCGCAACAAACAATGTGAAGGAGCTAAGCGTCGCTGCGCTAATTGTGCTGAATGGTGCTTGCAAGCAACTGCCCGCCTGAACTCCTGAGGATCTAGATATCCATCACCGTTGAGGTCAAACTCCTTGACCTCGACGACTTCAAAATAGGACGAAACAACAGTTGCGTCGTAATTCCGAGGATTCCGAGGTGCCTGTTTCGTACAAACGTGAACAAACACCCTTGTAGATGTTGCCGAGAGCTTCCGAAAACGATGGGCCAATCCTAGTGTCGGACCATGTCCGTGAAGCGCCTGATATTGTTGTCCTTCCCAGCAGAAGCAAAGCTAAAAAGCAGGACGCTGGCAACGTCGAAGGCAGATTCCTTCTTGTGCAACGAGGTGCTCAGGACTTTCTGTAGATCATCTGGGCCGATTAGTCCTGGATACAAACAATCCGTGCCCTTGAGACGAACTGCGAGGTTTCGCCAGCCTCGGCCTGTGATGTCAAGCTGCCCAAACATCTGGCAAAGTCTCCGAATCAACCGGATAACATGAAGCTGCCCGAGCTCGTGTGCACCATCCGTGAGCACAAGTCACCGAGCAGTAGGACATCAACTTGCAGCAGCGACCTCCATGGCACGAGATTCTTCGCAATACCTGCGATTGCGGCCACTATGAAGAGGTTTCGCCAAGTTCAGGCTTTAATTTGCAGCTTCAGGTGCAGGTGCAGCTGAAGTGCCCTACTGCCTTGCAGTCACGCAGGCCCGGTTTCTCTCAGACTTGGTAATGGACCTACACTGGTCTCTGCAGGAGAAGCCGATGTGCCTTTGCAAAAGACTTCTCGAAAATGAGATCGTAACAAAGCTAGCGCTTGCCCTTTGCAGCATTAGCTTGGTCCCTCTTTTGTGAGGTGCCTCTGTCTAGAGGCCAATGGCGAGCCAACGCCGTGCTAAGGCAGACTGCCTTTCAGGAATCGTGGACTCTGTCGGCTCCAAACTCATCAAATGCTACGTGTCTGGCACGAGACTGGCGGGGTGTATGTCACTGTATGTGTACGTGCCGATTGTCAAGGACGAGATGTCAAAGTTGATCCAAAGGTTTTGGTTGGTGGCATCAGCTCTCCGTTGACACCATAAAGATGCCGCTTCATTCGCAAGTTTCCTAGCTATATATATATATATATATATATACATATTATATATATATATAATTTATATTTATGTATTTACTTATTTATTTATATATCAGTGTGTTCGCACGCTTCTCTGCATTATGCAAGCTCTTGTAGGCATTCCTGCAAAGAGAAGCCCGCCGAAGACTGGACTAGTTGCGGGCCGGCTCTTTGCAGCCCGTCTTCAAACCATTCCGCATACTCGGACACTCGAAAGGCTGCAGCGCAGCTTAAGTTTTGCCAATGAATTCAGACTCTACAGCGGTCGCTCACGCTTTTCGGAGCTGCCTTGCGGAATCTAAGGCACGGCACTCTGGCTGCAAAAGCTGACTCTGCAGTGAAATCACCACTAGTGCAGCATACTTATCAAGTACACAATGCAGTGGGCCTGGCAAGCCTGGAAGACTCGTGTCAATTCTGTCCACACTGTCGTTTGGCATGCCTTGGCCACCTTGGTTCATTATCATCACGGCACGGTACAGGCAGCGTTGCAGCATGTTGGAACTTCCGGGAACATGCAGGGCTATCAAATCCCAGCAAATCCAGTCGTGCTTGCGTTTCTGCGGTCATAGACGTTGCGGAGGGATGCGCTGGACAATCTGAGACAGTGCGTGCCTGGTGTGTCTGCACCAGGAGAATCATCCCACAAGCTTGACGAAAATGGCGCCTCATTTTCCTTCCAAGTCAGAGTGGCTGTCCGCTCTTCGTAACTTCGTCAAGCGGTACCTGTGACACCTGCGTTCGCGCCTCCGAGACAGCCGGTACATTGAAGAGGTTATCGATTTCCTCGGCTTGTTCGCAGTAGATTCGACAGAGACCAATGCACTTCAGGGCAGCCTCTGCGTTTTCTTGGAAAGAGTTGATCATCTCCAGAAGCCGCACACGCTGGTCAAGGAGGATGACGTCTGCATCCTGAGTCAGGCAACCCATCCGGGAACAGTCCATTGCTCAAAAGACACATGCAGAACTGGGCCTTGTAGTTCGTGGGAGTTGTGTCCCGCATCGCTAGCAAGAACCTGATTACTCAGGATGCAAGCCTAAGACCACTGTGCCCAGATTCTTGGAATGCTTCCGGGCCTTAATTGGTGATCCAGCAGTCCTCTCTGCTTCTGCACAACTTGTCGGTAGAGATTTAGATCCTGGCAAATGTGGCCATTCGAAGGATATGATGACGGTGTGAGAACAACGTGGAGTGGTGGGTCTCTGTGAACGGAGACGCAAGGTAATCTCAGGTGGTGGTATCACAGATCTTGTCTTGACACCGGAGAGATGCTTCTTCCAGCACAGACTAGTCCAGAGTGACCAGAGGACCCTGCAAGGCTGAAAGGCAGACTGTGGTAAAAGCGAGACCTCACACTGTGAGATCAAAGCGCAATTAAGCACCGGCTGCAAGCATGGACGCTGCAAGGACGATCCGGAGTCAGGCAAAGAAGTTTTTCAAGACATAGCACTGGGAAACTAGCCTCGACAATCCTCGACAGGATTAATCCGGATGAACCGTCGCGAGCAAAAGCCCAAACCGTCGGAGTACCAATGATACTTAGAGCTCATCACAGAGTTGGGCTACATCGGAAAACCTTGAGCCTTGATTCTCGCAAGACCTGCTCCATGCCCTCGACTTGAAGCCACTGCCCACAGCCTCTTCAACCTTGCGGAGGATGTGTAGCATGCGCCTGGCAGCTGCAACACAAGAAAATTTGTCATCTTTGTCGCCGTACCAATCCTCTTGTCACCCTGTGGATCGTCATCGTATTCGTCCTGGACACATCTGATGTCTGATGATATCTGAGACGGACAGCTGACAAAGAGTGAGTGCGTGCACTGCTGAACAGGGCTGTTGGTTGGGCCTGATTTCTTTTGTGCCCGCACTTGCGGCAGTAGACACTGTCTGGTAGTAGTGGAAAGTGACCACAGTTGGAGCAAGCCTTACACCGGGTTGCCATCAAGGTGTGCCCAACATGAGCATTGCAACTGCCACGCTTCCAGCCTCAGTCAGGGCTGCCGCGTCCGTCAGGGCCGGCATGGGGTGCGCATCTTGCGGCGAACT